CGATTGAAAAGGATATCGCTGTACACCTTCTTGAGTGGTGCGTACGCGGGTGCGCTCGGGTTGTGATGAGGAATGAACGGCCGATGCGGTAAGTCGGCTTCGGGGCAGGTAAGACAAGTTCCTCGTGCTCATTGAAGTTCTTTGCTGTCGATTAGTAGTAATGAGTCCTTGTCAAGGTCTCCTGCTCTTATTGTGTTGTTTAACACAGTGTTGCTTGGGTGTCCCATGCGTGCGTGCCAGATGTCTTCGGAGGCGCGGTGTCCGGGTGAGCGTTGATACGCGTCGGAGTTGGAGTAGAAGCTGGCGATGAAGTTTGCGCTTCTGTGGACTTCCTGTTGAGTCGGATTCAGCTGCTGTGCGGGTGTTGGTGGTGCTTCGTCAACGAGGACTGGTGTCGTTGTTCCTGCTGCTGCCGACGATGTTTCTGCTGCTGCCGATGTTGTCTCTGCTGCTGCTTCTGCTGCTGCCGATGTTGTCTCTGCTGCTGCCGAATGTTGTATTGTTACTAACGCACGTGTTCGTTCTGCTTCACGAATGGTATGTGAATACCAGAAGCCTTCCGGACTGAAGTCGGGGTCGAGATCCGGCGGGTGCGTCCAGGATGTGAAGGTGACGATCCCGTCACTGTCTGCGGTGCCCATGTCTGGGACGAAGTCGAGGACGAAGACATTGTTCTTCAGAATCGCCTTTCCGATGTAGAGGCCGCCCTTCCCGTGGTACAGTTTGAACTCCTGGGTGGTACTGTCGGATTCCAGATGTATGCCTTTCGCCATCAACTGACTGACGCTTAGTAAGTTGTAACCAAGTCCTTCTGCTATCAGGACTTTTGACATTTGCAGTACGACATTCGTCTCTCGTGACTGAAGTTGCACTACCCCTTGCCGTCGTGTGCGCAGGTTCTGGTTATTGGCGACAGTGATGACGACTTCTCGTTGAAGTTGGTGCTCGCGTTGAACGAAACGTCCTGAGGAACACATGTGTTGTCTGCAGCAACTGTCCAAGAACCATGTATCCTTTCCGGACGGCTCGCTTTGGGCGATGGCGGCGTACGTCGGGTTTGGTTGAAGTGACTCGCGGCGAGGCGTACTGTTGTCGAGTTGTTCTTCTGGTGAGTAATATGGTGGTGACTCAGTTGTGCAGGAGTCACTCAGCCTTGCCATGCAGCTGACGATGTTTCTTGTTTCTTTGGCAGGTTGTCCCGTTGATGTTGTTGAGACGTGGACTGAAGTTGTCGGGTTTGCTTGCGTTGAAGTGACTTGACTGCTTGAAGGGCGAGGTTGGCGTTGTCGATTTGGGCAGTGCGTACGAGGATGCCCTGAAGTCTTGCAAAGGTGGCAGAACGGAGGTATGAATTTCGGTCGATTGTTGTTGTTGTAGCGCCGTTGAGTGTGAAACGCGAATTCGGGCATTGACACCTTTCTCCTTTGTCGTTCTTCTTGCAGGTCCATGTCTTGCTGTTCGGCGTGGATTTCGGCGCAAAGTGCCGCTTCAGAGATTTTCCCGTGGGCTCGTAGTATGGCGCGAGTGGAGCGCCAGTGAGGACCAAGACCGCCGATGACAACCGTGACGAAGGCGTCCTCTGAAATCGATCCTCCACATCGAAGAAGCTTGTCGCGCAGCTCGCGGCAGCGGCTGATATACGCCATTCCCTTCTCGCCCGATTTCATTTCAATGGTAGTTAGCTCCGCCATTAACCGACTTTGGTTTACGCTGTCTGTTGCTTGATACAGGGTCTTCAAGTGATTGTACGCGAGCTCCGCGGAGTTGCCGTAGCCTCGGTAAGACCGAATGTTTTGTTGTTGAGATGGAGTGATGTTCCTCAGCAGTATCGTGTACGCCATCATTGATTGATAGGTGTACTGCTGCTTCTCATACTGTGTGCCGTTTGTTGGGTATGGCAGGGACCCGTCGAAGAAGCCGAGGATTTGCGCTCCTTCCATCATCAGTTCAAATTCGAATGACCAGGTGAAGAAGTCCTTCCCGTCGAAGGGTTTTGTCGTTTGCAGTTTTAGAACGTGCGCGAACTGCGACTGAACTTGTAGTGCGTCCAGCGTTCTCTCTTGTCCCGGTGCAGGTTGTGGTTGTGGCATGAAGCTGATGGAGCCGCGCCAGGGCCTCAGATTGGTTTCGGGCTAGGCTGAAAGATCAGAGTTGGTACAAAATTCTATGCTGAAAAACAGAGAAATCAGCCTATTTTATGCCATTTTACACTACAAATGTAGTAAAAAATCATGTTTCTTCCCAAAAAAAAGCTGAAAATTCAGCCTCAATTCTGAAAAATGTCTGAAATCTCAGCCTTTTTTACCTAAATCAGCCTTTTTTCGCTGACTTCTAAGGCCCTGAGTCGCGCTGAGGCTCGTACGGAGCGAAGGTAGGTTGCTGTTGTTGATTCCCGCGTGCGTAGGATGAGCCATCGAGACTCATGGGCGTCACGTTGTTGTTGTTGTTGTTGCTGTTGTTTGATTGCACAGGTCCTCCTTGCTGATGCTGCTCGTAGAAGGACATGAAGGAGAAGAATTTCTCTATCATGCTTGGATCGAAGCCCATGCCTTGGTTTGCGGGTGTTTCAGTAGACCCAGCTGCCGGTCTCGTTGTTGTCCCTTCCTCTGTCTGTAGGCCAGAGGCAGGAGGTGGAGTAGGAGTAGTACCAGGAGAGCCGTTGGAGGAGCTCCTCTCCTTTCTAGTAGACATATCTCTTGGTGTATTAAGTATTGAGGAGAAATGATTTAACTCTAACCTGCTCTCATACCATGTTGGGCTGAGTGCTCTTTAGGATCTTTGGTAGAGTTAAAGTCTGAGTAAAGTGATGTAGTAGCGGAAGCGTTTTAAGTAAGGTATTTGAACCACCTTGCGCTAGTATGTGAGGGCAAAGTAAGTTGATTAAAGCAAAGAGATACAAGAATATATATATATATATATGAATACAGAGAATATGAAGAGACATTATAACTACTTTATATTGCGGTTCGATACAGTGCGACTCGGGCAACTGCTCAATGTCGAGTCAGTTGTGTGTCCTTGCTGTCGCGCTGCATTTGTCAGGTCAAAGGTCGCTGACCTTTGACTTTCACGTAACCTCCAGCGGTTACATCAACCTCCGAGGGTTGACTCGCTGGTGCCTCCATATGCGCTGCTTCGCTTGTGTCTTGGTGTTTCGACACGACAGAGGCGCTAAAGATTGTTTGCTCCCAACACGAGTTAATGGACGATCGATCTAGGATGTCTCTGAATGCAAATTTGTGTTCATCCCCCCCCAACCTATCATCATCACCCCGTTCACTATAGTGACAACTCTACACACATTCCTACTAAAATCCGCTCTCCGCCACCCTCACGATACTCGGAATCTTCGACTGGACGGGGAGCTATGCCTACCGCTGCCCACCCACCCTCTACCACTGCTGCTGGAGCCAACAGCTGCTACTGATGCCGCCCCAGTCCGCGCACCACCAGCAGCAGCACCCGCAGGCGCAGCAGCAGCAGCAAGACTGGTGGCAGGCGAGCTTGGCCTGGCAGAGGAGGAGGAGTTGGTGGTGGTGGTGGTGGTGGTTGAAGCAGCGCCAGTTGCTGCTGCTGCTGATGCTGGTGCTGCTGCCCTTGAACCAGTCGCAGAGCGGAGGAAAGAGGAGATGATGGATGAGGCCTTGCCGCTTGATGCTGATGGTGTTGGTGTGGGGAATCGGGTTAAAAGGAGATGGTGAGGGGAGGAAGGGAACGGAAGCAAGATACAAGAGTTTGGAGACGGTGGGAAACGAAACAAAACCGCATGCTGCTTTCAAGGTGAAGGCCGAAACAGAATGGCCAAACAAAAGTGGTTGTGCAGAAACATGTACACCCATCAAACCTCCCCCCCTCTTTTACCTCGCTTTTTCTCCATCAACCATTATAAAAAATCCCACTTCCCGTATGCAATGCACGGTCCTTGCTTGCAACACCCATAGTCCAGTCAATGCATACAGCCCCATACTGCATCCACGATGCACCCCTCGCCACTCACCATCCAACCAATCTTTCCACTTGCCACTCACCACTCCAAAAACCACTCCATTCACCAGCCACCCCCACCATCCACCACCCTCCAACCACCAGCCCTCAGCCTGAGCACCAGGCACCAGACCCACCTTCAGCAAGCCTCAAGGGACTCCTCGAGCGAGCACTCCCCCTCTCGGCTCTCCCTTTCTTCTCCCCTCCTGCCACTGCTGTCATCCCTCCCACACCACCAGCAACTCCCACACCCACTTCCCCCACCGCCCCTCCTTCCCCAACCCCCACAACTCCTGCACTCCCCTCCCTTTCTGCTGCTCCTTCTGCTACCGAAACTGCTGCTGTAGCTCTCGTTCCTTCCCCTCCTCCTCCTCCCCCTCCTCCCCTTGCTGCAACTGCAGCAACTCGTCTCCTCTCCTTCGCCTCAGCAGAGGCTCCGGCCATCTGCAGCAACATGCCTGCAACCACTGACCTCTCCGCCACTCCCCCTCCCACTCCTCGCCCTCCCATTCCCCCTAAGCCACCTCCTAGCGTCTTCCCACCCCCACTGCCATCGTGCCCTCCCATGCCCGCACTCCTCTTGCTGCTGCTGCTGCTGCTTCCACTTCCGGTGCGCCACAGGCCCATGGCTCCCGACCCTGCTCCTCCAGCACCCGAAGCAGAACCAGAAGCAGCAGCGCCAGTGCTGCTGCCCCACCTGCCGCTGTTGCTTCTGTAAACCTTGCCAGGGCCAGCATCAGCAGCACCACCACCACCACCAGCAGCTGATGCTTGTGTGCTGTATGCTGCGCGTGGGGAAGGCACGACTAAATGGGAAGCCGTATCTGTCGGTAGCACCACACTGCTACTGCTTGTATCTCCGCTCTCCGCTTCCTGCTGCCGCCATTGCTGCTGCTGCTGCTGCTGGTGCATCTGCAGAGAAGAAACCACATGATTTGATACAGGGTGCGAGGGGCTTGCTTGAGGCACAGAGACAGCGGAAGCGGCACCAGCAGAGGAGGAAGCAGGCGGTTCTATCAAGGCCCCTCCCCCATCTCCTCCACCACCGACCCTCCACCTCCCTCTCTCCCTCGCTGCAACCACCACCCCCCTTTCCCCTACGCCTCTGCCTCTTGTGCTCGATACCCCTGCACCTGCTGCCGCCACAGCAGCAGCAGCAGCCTGCAGCCTCTGCCTCGCGCCCATCACAGCTGCCAAACCGCCTCCCAGGCTCGCACCCGAACCTGCCCTTGCTGTTGGCGTTGAGGGAGCAGGACCCCCACTACCACCAGCACCGCCAGCAGCGGCAGCAGAAGCGGCGGCAGTATGGAGAGATCCGACTGAGTTAGTGTCTGCTGCAAAATTTGCAGTAGGTGCAGTAATAGCAGCTGGAGCTGCAGCAGCTGCAGCAGCAGCAGCAGCAGAAGTGGAAGCACCAGCAGCAGCTTGTTTCGGCGTGTAGGTAGCCGCAGCAGAAGCCGGTGCGGGGCGGTAAGCAGCAGTGGAGGCTGATGCGAGCGAGGAGGGGTCCATCTTGAGCGCGGATACCTTCAGCTGCAGGTTCAGAATGCGCTGCTGCAGTGACGGGGAGGGCGATGGGGCAGTTGTTGTGGTAGTTGTGGTGGTGGTGCTGGTGGTGGTGGATGGGGTGTTGGTGGCGGCGGTGGCTGACGAGGATGAGGATGGGGATGGGGATGGGGATCCTGATGGTGCGGATGTCAACAAGGAAGTTGCAGTCACTGAGGATCGATGGCCTTGCTGCTGCTGTTGCAGCGGCTGCTTGTGGTGATCTGAGCTGACATGGTCAGTCACAGAATGACTCAGCTCCTTTGGCCCGCTTGTACCAGCGCCACCCACTGCACCTGCACCAGAAAGCACTCCTCCTCCTCCGCCTGCTAGAATTTCTTCTTCTGCTCCTGCTGTTTCTTCCTTTGCTGCTCCTGGTGATGGTCCATCAGAGGATTGGACTAGGCCATTGGGGTTGGGGTGACCCTGAGGGGTCACGGCACACATGGTAACTGCCGATGTTGCTATGGCAGAGGTGGTAACTGCGAGGAAAGGTAGCAGAGAGGGTTGGGAAGGATGGGAATGCGGGAGCAGAGGGACGAATGTGAAGGTCTGGTACAGAGAGGTGCAGAGTGCTTGTGAGGTCGCTTGGCGAAGGGGAGGCAAGAAAGAGGAGAGGGATGCTGAGAGGAACGCAGGAATGGTAGAACCAGCAACAACGCAATAGCTCACACGCCGTGGGGTATCAGTAACCAACCCAGTGCTTGGTAGAGCACTTGGGTGGGATGCTTGAGGGAGGGCTCACCAGAACGTTTAGCAGCAGCAGGATGGTGGGCGTGTGAGGAATGTGGGGCATGAGAGGCATGTGAGGTAGAGAGCACGGTCGATGCTGACACCGTTGCCTTGCGTGCCTCTGGATGGGCCACCACGGATGCACATTATCACACACATGGACAAACACGCATACAAACACACAGATACGCACATGCACACACGTTCACACACACACCCATACGTAGACACGGTGGGAAAGTAAGGGGTGAGGGAACGGGGAAAGGATAGTAAGGTGCTGTCCGTTGGAGCAATGCTTGAAAGGAAGGGACCGTCCCAACACAAATGCTTGAAAGGCTGCAACCCTGCTCACTGTGCTGATATGACTAGCATTGGATGGGAGAGGGTTGGGGTGGCGTGGGGGGGGCGGGGTGGGGGAGAACGGGCAGTGTGCGGGGACAGCAGGGGGTTGGGGAGATGGGGGTAGAGCGAACTCTTTGGAGGCCAGGTAAGGAGGAGGCGATGCAAAAAGAACAAGCAGGCATGGGCGCAGGCAGGCACGGAGGCAGGCACGGGCGCACCTTTGATGAGGTTGTGTAGCCATGCCATATCCGGTGACTGCTGCCCCCCCTGCACCTGCTGCTTCGTGCCTCCGTCCCTTGTGCCGCTAACACCACTCTCCTCCATGCCTCCTCGCTCAGCCGTCGCTGCAGCAGCCACCCGAGAAGCGTCACCACTGTCAGCATGATCATTTTCACCTATGTCGATATCAACATCATTATTATTCTCACTGGCGAAAGTACCAGAAGCAGCAGCAGCACTCGCCCCCGCTGTTTCAAACCATCTGCTCCTCCCGCCACCACCATCGCCACCCATGCGCCCACCAGCACTGCTGCCACCACCGCCACCACTTCCACCCCCGCTACCCTCCACACCATCAGCGCCAGCACCAACACCATCTCCACCCATCCCCACCCCTCCACTCGCCCCTCCTCCTCCTCCGAACATCATGACCTCGTTCCATACTGGCCCCTCCACACTCTCACTCACCCCTGACAGGGAGACCAGGGATGCAGATACGGACACAGCAGGAGTGGCGCCAGGTGTGGCACCAGGAGTGGCGCCAGGTGTAGCCCCAGGGGTGACTCCAGGTGTAACACCAGGTGTTACCACTGCTGCTGTTCCCCCACCTGAAGCATCCGAACCAGCAGCGTGCAGGGAGGTGACTGACGTGGCGATTCCTGATTGGCTCACGCTGGCCCGCTGCATGTAACTCGAGGCAGTACACGCAAAAGCGTTACTGTTACTACCGTGACTGTTCCGAACGCCACCGCGCTGCATCATCCCCGTGCTTGCACTGTGCGCAGCGTCATTACCAGTGGTGTTGCAGCTGCTCGAAGTCGTGTTGCTGGCATGACACGCCCAAAGCACCTCACTCCCGCTGTTGCTACCCACCCCAGCACCTGCAGCTGATCCTGCTCCAGCTGCCGCTGCCAGTGCCGCTTTGTTTGCAGCTGCAGCAGCAGCAGCAGCAGCAGCGCCAGGCGCCATACCGGCTCCTCCACCTGCGCCTACTCCCAGCCACCCTCTGGTGGACCGCATGGGCGAGAAGCTCCTGCGTAGCAACGGCTCCCCTGCCCCTCCCCTTCCTCCTCCCCCCCCTATCCCTCCTCCACCTCCCCCTCCCCCTCCTGCTGCTGGTGCTGCTGGTGCTGCTGCTGATGATGACGGACCAGCATCGCGCCTCCTAGGGCTGCCCAGGATACCAGACAGGGCACGGGCCAGGCCCTTTGTTCCTCCACTCCTCCCACTGCCGCTCGCGCTCCCCTCCTTCCCTCCCTTCGCGTCCCGCACCTCTTTGCCCTCTTGCCCCACCCTTCCGTCCTTCTGTCCGCCATGCTCAATAGAGAAACCAGCATCTCTTTCCTCCTTGCTCTCTTTCCTCTCCACACCACCAGCGCCAGCACCAGAACCAGCAGCACCAGCACTGGCACCAGCGCTACGAGCGTCAGCAGCGTCATCAGCCGAGCCAGCAGCAGGTCGGCTATACAGCCCGTCCAAAGCCCGCTCTCCGCATCCCACCTCTTTCTTCTGCTGCTGCTGTTGCTGCTGCAGCTGCGCTTGCCAGCGCTTCTCCACATCACCTGCTCCTCCAAACCGCCCAAAGTCATTATGAACGCCACCCCTGCCACCACCGCTCTCTGCTTTCTCCTCCGCCCTTGCTGCCTGTGCCTCCAGCTGAGCCCCCATAGCCAGACACTCGAGACTGACGCTCGGTGACGGAAGAGGGGAGGTGCTCGGTTGAGGAAGCAGCGGCGAATCTGGGGCGAGAATAGGGGATTCAAACATGGATGTGGCTTGGGGCTGCGAGGCAGCGAGAGACGGGGAGAGCGGAGGGGTGGATGCTACAGGGTGGACCATCCCTGCTCCATCCACTCCCTCCCCGCCTTCGTACGTCTTCCCCACCACTCCCTGCTCCCACTCCTTCTCATCGCTGCTGCTCATTCCAGCAATGGCAGGTGCAGCACCACTCCCAGCACCACCAGCAGCATCAGCCGGAGGAGGAGCGGGAACAACAGGAGCGTGAGTTTGAGCTTGGGTGTCAACACGGGAAGCAGCCTGGAGCCCATGTGACAACTCAGGGCTCACAGCGCGAGGCAGCGGCAGTGGGAGCGGCACGGGGAGATCAAGAGTGGGCATCTGCTGTCTGAGCATGGACAGCAGCCCTTCCATTTCCAGCGCCCTCAGCTCCATCTGCCGCATCCTCTCGCGCAGCCCCTGTGCCTCGCTCCTCGCGCCCTCCAGCTGCTCCCCTTGCTCCTTCACCCGCGCCTGCAGCCGATCCCTCTCCGCCTCTGCTTCCGCCAACTGCCTCTCTGTCTTTCCTGTGCCGGCGGATGCAGGCGGAGCGTCCCCAGCAGCAGCAGCTGTCACACCTGCTCCTGACGCCAGTGCCATTGCCGCAGCACCACCAGCGGCAGTGGCAGCAGCAGTAGCAGATGGAGCAGCAGAAGGCACGTCAGGCTTGGCCGGCTTGCCCTGGTCGCTGTCAGAGGCAGCGGAGGAGGAGGAGGAGCAGGAAGGGAAGGAGGCGAGGGAGGGGGAGGGGGAAGGGGAGGAGTGCGAGGAGGCGCCTTGTGCCTTGGCTCGGATCTCCTCCTCCAGCTGCGCGACTGGTGCATGCAGGGGGTTGCATGGTGGGGGGCACGGTCAAGAGAACGCATGCAAGGATAGGAGAGGAGAGAGGCGTAGGGAGGAAGAACTTGTTATCTGGTCTTCCATTCATTCATTTGAGCAAACGATGCATGCGGGAGCAGGGGTCGGGAGTGGACAAGTGTGGCAGGGAAGGGAGTGGGAGAGTAGGGAGTAGAGAGAATGGAAGATGGGATGGAATGGGAAGAGGAGCGAGGGGAGGGATGACGAGGCAAGGGGGATGTGGGTCAGGCAGTGGGGATAAAGAGGGGAATGCTGGGGTAAGCACGCGAATGCAGGCAGATGGTAGGACGGGTGGGCGTTGGATGGAAAAGATAAGGAGAGCAGGAGGGAACAAGGAACGAAGGGAGGAGAAATATTGGAAGGACAGAAGGAGGAGGGAGGAAAGGGAGGAGGAAGCGGAGAGTGAAAGCGCAGAGAGCAGGCGGGTGACATACTGCGAGCAGCGAGAGCAGCGAGGGAGGACGAGGACACGGAGCGAGCACCAAGCACAGCCATGGCACTGCCAGCCATGCCCCCCTCTGCTGCTGTCCCGTTCATGAGTATCCCCACTGCTGAAGCAGCACCACCGTCACCAGCAGCAGCGGAACCAGCAACGGCAGCGGCAGCGGCAGCAGCAGCAGCAGCATGTGTTGTGAACAAACCACAGTCTATGCACCTGCCGTCCTTCCCTTGGACGTCACTGTGACTGCTAGTGCCCCCCCCTTGGCTGCTGCTGTTGCTGCTGCTGCAGCTCTCCCCACCGCCGCTGCTCCTGCTGCTGCTACTGCTCCCTAGCAGGTTACCTCGATCGTCCCCATGCTCAAGCCCATCACTATCCCCATCGCCATGCCCACACATGCACACAGATAGCGCACCCAGTCCGGCCCCATCCTTCCTCCCACTCTCTCCTCCCCCTCCCCCTCCCCCTGCCGCCGCTGCTTCTGCAGTCAGGGGCGCAGTGAGGGCGCATGGGGCTTGGCTGGCTTCGAGCAGTCGCACGCGCTCCCGCAGCTGGTGCACCTGCAGGGTTGGCGGGTTGGGGATTGAGAGGAGTTCGAGTGTTGGAAGGTGGGGGACCTTGACAAGGACTTGGCATGGAGCGCATTGTGTTGTGTGCCAGTGGTTGAGTCGTCTGGGACGGCAGGTAGGTAGGCAAGTAAGTGGGTAGGTAGTAGGTACCAGGTAGGGCAACGGTTTGCAGAACGCAATGATATGGGAAGTAGGAGGAAACGAGAAGCACACGAGGGAGGTTGAGTGAGGAACCCTAAACACCCACGCACCCTTTTCCCTCACCCCATCGCCTCTCACCTGTCCCCTCAGCCCAGCAGCTGTGACCGCTTCCTGCTGCATGTGCTTCCACTGCCTGTAGCTGCCGCCCACCATGCCCACCACGCGCACAGGCAGCACGGACTGCGGGTGCACCACACTGCGCAGCACCACTGCACCCTCCACCACCCCCCCCACCTCCTCGCACCACCCGCCTATCGCCACCTCCGCTCCCCTTCCCCCTCCCGCCTGTGCCCTCTCCTTCCCCTCTCCCGTTTCCGCCGTCTCCTCCGCACCCCCCTCCGCCTGTGCCCCGCGCGCCTCCTTGCCGTCACCAACAGCAGGAGCGGGCGGAAGGGCGGAGAGGTCTGGCGGCATGCACCATACCTCTGGCTCTTGAAAGTGCCTGCTCCGGTCCATGGGGGGGTGGGGGAAGGGGGGTGTGGGGAAAAGGGAGGGGAGGAGGCGTGTCGTTATCGAAGAGAGGGGATGAAAAGGGAGAGAGGGGAAGAAGGACGGGAGAGAGAGAGGGGGCGAGGAGAGGGAGAGACAGCGGGGAGTCGGATCGGGGAGGGGTGTGTGTGTGCGCGCGCGCGCACAGACACACACCCACACACCAACACACCCACGCAGACGCACACAGCACCGCCCGAGCAGCGTACCATCCAGCGAAGTAGTGGCATTCGTCCGCGCTGCCAGCGGCGGACAGGCACCGCCCGTCAGCAGCCAGGGACCGCAGCCCCACGCGCCCCCCTCCGAAGCACACCAGCAAGAACAGGCTCTCCACGGGCCACGCCCCGCCAATCCCGCCGCCATTCAAGGGGCCCGCGCCGCCGATTAACGCACCGTCGCCGCTGCGGCCGCCGCCAGCATCTGCACAGAGACCGTCAGCGCCACCACTATTAGCCGCCGCTGCCGGCGCAGCTGCCGCCGCGGCCTGCACATCCCCGTTGCAGGGCCCCGCGCCGTCGCTCGCGGCGCCTGATCCGGCGCCTGCCGGCTCGGTGCTCGGATCGACCGTTCCGAGCTCCCAGCGGCCGTTGGATTCGACGGCTGCCAGCAGCTTGCTGCCCAGCGCGAGCGCGACGATGGACCCGTGGCGCAGCACCGCGCTTCCGGGCTCGCGCGTCCTCCATAAACGCGTCTTCGCTGCCATTCGATACAAGCCAGTAGCGTGGATGTTGCTTCCGCTCCCCGTTTCCGCCCCCGCAGCCTCCGCCATCGCAACTGCAAGATCCCCGCTCGCGCGTGCTGGCGCCGCAGCCGCCGCCGCTGCTGCTGCTGCTCCCGGCGCGGAAGCGGAAGCGGACGGTATCCGCCCCGAAGCGGGTTGTGCCGACATGCCTGCCGCGATTCCCGCTGCTACTCCCCCAATCCCTTCCGCGCTAGATCGTAGACCTCCCGCACCCACAGTTCCTCTGCCAATTCTAGGCATTCCCCCTGTTGCGCCTGCCCCCAAGCTGGCTCTTCCTACCCCCGCCACCGCGCCGGCGCGGTCTGTTCCTCCGCCTTCTCCCCCTTCGCGCCCGATTCTGGTTCCCGCACCAGCCGGCGCCGCGCCCGCTGGTGTTCCGTCCCCGTCAGCGCACCTGTCCTTCCGCTCCACCTTCCGCTGACTCCCCGCGCTGCTGCACGCGAATTCGTCCCCCGCAAACGAGCGCAAGTCCGCCATGTCCGCATCCGGCCTCCCCGTGGCTGCGGCGGAAGCGGGAGACGCGCAAACCGCCCCGCCTCCCGCAGACCCGTCATTCGTCCACCGCCGGTTGTGCGGCTGCTGCTGCTGCTGCTGCTGCTGCCCGCTAGAAAAGCTCCCTTTCCCCCTCCCCATTCCGCCGCTTTCCCCCAGCGCAGCTGTCACAGTCCTCATTGCGCCAATCCCCCCCCCATCCCTCACTCCACTGCCTGTTTCCCCCGCGCCTCCGCTCAAGCCGCGCATAACCCCTCCGCCCATGCCTCCTGACCACTCCCCTTCCGCGGACCGTTCCACACGGTCACCAGGGAGCACGGGGCTGGCGGGGCGGGGAGTGCGGACGGGCGCAGGTGCGACGTTATGAAGCTGAGTTGCGGGGGCAAGAGCAGAGTTTACGGGCGGCGCGGAAGGTAGGGAGATTCCACGCGCTTCCGCGCCTGGGAACAGCTGGCGGCGCGAATCCGGCGTTCCGCTTCTGCTTCCCCGTGCGGTCACCGGCGCAGCGGCGCTCTCCGCAGCTGCTGCCGCTGCAACCGCCGCCGTTGCTGCCGCTACAAGCGCGGAGGACGACGAAGCTGCTGTTGCCGATGCGGATGTGATAGGTCCCGGTGGTATTGGCCCCGACGGCTGTCCCGCATCCAAACTACGATCACCGTATCTCACCTCTCCGAATCCGCTTCCTACGCCGCCTCCCCCGCCATAAACCCCGGACCTGCCGAAGCTGGGTAGCAGGCTCGCAATGGAGCTTCGGGGCGTGACGCGCGGAGAGCTGTGCCTGGGACTCGTCAGGTTGAGGGACGGAATGGAGATTGGCGAAGGGAGGGTGTAACGCTGCGAATGCTTGTTCGCGGCAGTCGCGGAGATGGATCGGGAGGGAGAGGCGGAGGAAAGGGAGGGAGAGGAGGGTCGGTGATTGGATGAGGAGGTTCCGAAAAGCGGCGGCGGCGGAACTATTTGATGTGATGGCGCGGTGTAGGCGGAAGGCCCGGCCGACAACCCCGCGGAGTGCGCGGGTGGGTGCGCGGTGAGGGAGGGTGCGGCATAGGAACGCGATGGGGAGGGAGCACGACGAGAGGCCGACGAGAGGGAAACGCGGGAAGTCCCGGGAGATGCGGAGCGAGAGGGGCCCATGGCGGCGGGCTCTAATGGAAGAAACGGGTCTGAGAGAGTATCTGCTGTACGCAGCACCGACCGATAAGTTTGCACTGTCCGCGAGTTTCACGCTAAAGGAGAATGCGAGATAGCAACTACACCTGCTACAGGCTGGTAACCTCAGCGCGAATCTACAGGCGTTGTTCTACCGAGGCGGAAGAGGCGGATCGTCACGGAATCACGCGCTGTCGAAAGGAATTTACGATGTCCCTATGTCAGACTCCTAGCTAGTGCGGAAAATCCGCTTTGAAGTGACGCAATTGAGAATACTCGATTAATTCTACTGTGCGTTGTCGCACCGCCCAAACTGACTCGACACATCCAATCTACGCGGCCACCATGAGTCACATCTGATTTCCTACGGCATTGACAGACTATTCTGTCGGACGCGACTCGGCAATGAATGGTCCAACTGACCATCTCGAGGGTGGAGAGTGGACGAAGGAAGGAAAGCCCTACGTAGCCTTCGGCCCTAAGTAGCCTTTTGCAAGGTACCTGTGATCGCTGAGGAAGCTTGCACAACTTCTGTTTGGGACCGAGCCAGGACGAATTTAGAAGGCACTGTGCTCAGGTTTGGCTTGTCGAAGGAGCTGGGGACAGGTGGTGCATGGGTGCACAGTCGTTTAGGAGCAACAACAGTCGGATGACTGCCCACGGGGTGAGATGGTCGCAGTAGCAGATTGCCTCGACAGTGCGCGGCACACCATCTACAGGTCATTACGTAACGGCGTGAGATACGGTACAGAAATCAAATGCTCAGAACCTAACCTAAAAAACAAACGGTTGAAAGCGGTTAGGCGTGCTCAGCTGCGTTTCAGTCGGATATAGCAAGAGTCGAGTTTCTGGACAGGATAGTGTAAAACGATGCAGCAGACACTTGGACTGGAGTCGAGTTTCTGTCGCGTGCGGTCACGGATGCGCAAAGCACTAGGCAGGCAGCATTTTTTTCAGTGGACAATGGGGGCGATACAAGCCCAGAGCAGATGAAGAATGGGGGATGTGCGGGGTAGGAAAGCAGGGGACTCCCAACCAGCACCCGCACTGAGCACTCCATTCAGCAAGGTGGCGGGCGGCTTTCCCCTCCTCACCTCACCTCCCCTCCCCTTTTCCCCACCCCCAACCTCCCAATAATGCGCAGGTGCGTGGATGTGGGCGTGCCGGAATTCCGGACCAAACCAAAAGCTTTCCCTCCATCTCGTGACTGCAAGCTTTCCTACCTGCTAACGACCGCGTTGCCTGGCGTATGGTGCTTGGCCTGGTGATTTTGCTTGGTCTGGGTCCGCTTGGTTTGGTAGTGCCTTACCCAAACTTCACCAATCAGGCTTGTGCAAGCAGCAGTCCTTACCGAGCCAAGACAGCAGATCGTCAACAGGGAAAGGGACTGCAATGCTCATTTGCGAGGGCATCTCGAATCGCCATATTTTTTGCAATTTCGCGCTTCCTGCTGGCCTGGGTAGGCAAGTTTCAGCGGCTCGAGAGAATAAATTTATATTTGGGAGTACAAGTTGATGTGTTTACCCGTTTATATTTTCCATAACTCGTGCATTGCCGTATCGGATGCATATCCCCTTTCCAGTGAAAATGCGTTAGTCTCGTATACCAAGCTGCCCAAGCAGACCAACGAATCTGACACGTCAAGCCTTGAGAATGGCGGGGAGATCATACCAACGCCCCAAGCCTCCTGATCGCGCCAATTGACCAAGCAGACTGGCGACGCGTTTGGTTGGAGGTCAAGTCAAGGGGGTGGAGGTTAGTCGTGCTTCTCGATCCTGCAAATCACGTGCACACTAATGAGTGATTAGCTTATGTATTGTGCGTTGTACACATATTGTAATAAAGAATATGATAACATTAGGACTAAAAGACTGTACATGCACCCTCAAACATGGAGTCTACATATGTTCGGTGAGGGCTGTTTGGATTAACCAAATATGTTTCGTACCATCATCGCAATAATGGTAAACCAGCCACCTTAAATATATGGTGCGTAAGGGCCATCGCTTAAGTATCAGCATATATTTCCATGTACTAGGCTCTCAAGAAGTACGCATAACGGATATGGGAATGGCAAAAGAGTACACCACCTGCAGTTGTTTCTACTAACTAACTAATAAACTAGAAAGCTGTAGGCAGTTATACAGGTTATGCAAATATACAATTCAACACACCCCCGTAACTGCCTACACAGCTAGTGGTGTCTAGCAACAGGTCGCCTGGAGAGCGGTTGCTTGTAGCTGGGATACACACAGAAACAGCGGTGTCTGACCGCAGCACCTGTAAACGCCAGAACGGAGTAGGAGCAGGAGCAGGAGCGCCTAAACGGAGGGCGAAGGTTGATGGTTGCTCGCCGTTTGCAAGCAAACACAACTTGCGGTGAGGAGGAGGAAGCTGGTGGTGCACAGGAGGAGAGCAAAGGAGAGGCATCTGAAGGAAAGGAGAGAGGAGGGGAGGTGAGGAGGGCCGGCTGGAGGAGAGGAGAGGTAAGGAGAGGCGGCTGGAGGAGACGAGAGGAGAGGCGGCTGGAGGAGAGGAGAGATGGCTGGAGGAGAGGAGATGCAAGGAGGAGAGGTGAGCTGGTGGCAATTTGCTGGTCACCCCCGCCACCCCCTCATCCCCCCCCCCCCTCACGGCCGTAAACACGGCCGAGAGAGAGAAGAGAAAGGCCGCGGACTGGTGCTGCATATTACCTCCGGCCACCCCCATTACCCCCCCCCCCCCCCCCCCCACCCCCCCCCCCCCCCCCCCCACAGCTGCATGCGCAGCAGGGAGAGGGAGGAGTGTTGGAAACAATCGGTCCTAAGCACCTCTGTCGTGTCGAAACACTAAGGCACAAGCGAAGCAAAGCATATCGAGGAACCAGGGAGTCAACCCGCGGAGGTTGAAGTAACCGCTAGAGGTTACGCGAAAGTCAAAGGTCAGTGACCTTTGACCTGACAAGTACAGCGCGACAGCAAGGACACACAACTGACTCGTCACAGAGCAGTTGCCCGAGTCGTCACTGTATCGAACCGCAACAGCAACAGTAAAGTAGTTATAACTGTGTCTTTTCATATTCCCTGTATTCATATATAATCTTGTATCTCCTTGCTTTAATCAACTTACTTTGCTCTCACATACTAGCGCAAGGTGGTTCACAACACTTTATTAACGCTTCCGCTATTACACCAACTCTACCCAGAGTTCACCCCTGCAAAGATCCTAACGGCCTTTTACAGCCCTACATGGTACGAGAGCTATCAGGGGGAATTCAACTTCTATACCAACAGTATCAATCAGCATGGCTACACAAAAAGAAAGGAGCAACTCCAACGGCTCCCAGGGAACTACTCCTACTCCACCTCCTGCTGTTGGAAATCAACGAACAGGAATGGATGAACTAAGAGTGAAAACAGTACAAATGCCTAACCCTAAAAATTGTGTACCCCCTATAGTCTAACCCACTAAAGCCTAAACAAGCACAACAACATATATAATGTTTGACACACCCCCATAGGCGAAGTGGGGGAGAACTAGGGGTCACAAGACCAGTCATGGCAAAGCAAGGCAAAACAAGCTCAGGGTGGATCTCAAGGATACCACACAAATTCCGAGCACAAGCAAGTGGTCAGAAGACCAGTTCACATGCATGTTTATAATAGAACAAGAGGTACAATGATCACAACCTAGCAAGAGGAAACATGCAGGTATATATATATAGAGATCACAGTGCAAACAGACTCAAGAAGTAAGCAAGTGAGGTACAGTAGGCACAAGGCCTAGAAGAGTGCAAAAGCGTTGATGGTCACAAGGCTGAAGCGCCTTGGTGAACACATCAGCAGTGTTGGCCTCAGAGGCCACGTAACGCAGACGAAGCTGACCACGCTGCTGCAACTCTCGAGCAAGGAAGTAGCGCAGAGCAATGTGCTTCGTTCTGTGCTCCAGTCTGTGCTCCTGACACAAGGCAATGGCTGCCTTGTTGTCGACGTACAGCACTGGAGGAGAACGAGGCTGCTCTCCAAGGTCGGTCAGCAAGTAGGTGAGCCAGCGTAGCTCCTGGGCCGCCATGGCTGTGGCGTAGATCTCAGCCTCATAACTGGAGCTGAGAACAGAAGAAGAGCGAGTAGAACGCCAAGAAACTGAACCAGAGCCAAGACTGAAGGAGTAACCTTGAGACGACCGCTGAGTAGCCTGGTCGTCTGCTCAAGAAGCGTCTGAGTGCCCAGTGAGAACAACTGGGACTCGCCCTCCAAGAACTAGCCCCATGCCCGACGTACTGCACAAGTAGCGCAACACCCTCTTAGCTGCATCCATGTGCTCCTTCCGGTGACGGCCGGATGCGACATAGTGTGCAAGAATGCTAAGAGGGTATGCAAGGTCAGGTCGAGTGCAGGTCATAAGGTACATGAGGCAACCCACAAGCTCTGGATACTGGCCACTCGGCTCTACGGACTCATCCGAAGGCAGAGCTGAGAGCGAGTGACCGGTAGGCAAAGGAGTGGGCTGAGGCGAGGAGTACGTGAAGCGGAAGCGCTGAAGGACCTGCTGCACCATGTGTGACTGAGTCAAGGTGATGGTGCGGCGTGCTCTGTCCCGGGTGATCCGCAAGCCAAGATAGCTTGTCAGTTCACCCAGGTCTGTGCACGTGTGTCTCTTCTGCAGCTCCGACTTCACGTGGGCGAGTGCCGCAGTGTCAGCAGTGGCAAAGACAAAGTCGTCGACGTACACGAGGATGTAGAGCGGCGGTAGTGAGGTGTCAGTGCGTAGAAACAGCGACGGGTCAGCAGTAGAAGGCGCGAACCCAAGAGCCGCAAGTGTAGTCCTCAGTGTGTCGTGCCACTCACGTGGCGCCTGGCGGAGACCGTAGACTGGCCGTCGAAGGCTCCACTGGGTACCAGGAGGGAACGACCCACTGAAGCCAGGTGGACGGCGCAGCCGGATCTCCTTGTGCAGGCTGCCCTTCAGGAAAGCAGTGCTGAAGTCAAGAGAGTGGAGCTCGTAGT